CACAAAATGGAGAAATGAATGAGAATAAAAGTATGCTCATGAGATCACTATCTTCAGGTTTGTGAATCCCCCTAATGAACTTCAGAACTCCTGCGCCAGTCTTTACGAAATGTGGTATGCATATCGTGGCACTTGAGTTCATAAATCCCACTCATTATGTGTGTGTGTGTTTTCTATGTATCCTCCTGTCGTTGCTCGGTAAACACGTTCATGCGACAACGAAGAAATGTTGGAGGCATTTTTTATACGGTACGTGTCATATCAAAAGAAATTGGAATATTGGTTATTCCCAGATTTTTTTTTTTTTTGCCTTTCTACAGACTCGTGGCTTAAAATATCTGATGATGAATGGGCTGTGTGGTTGAGAATGCGTTTTATGAAGCATCAGAGAAGCACGGTCGTATTTCTGTACCACCTCTGCAGTGTCAACATTTTGTTTTCAATATAAATAGCTTTAAAATTTGCTCTTTTTTGGTTGAATTGTAGTAAAACAAACTTCTTGGCCTGTAGTCCACAATCGAACTATACCGACCGAGCGACCGATCTGAGTTACTGGCAGCGTCATTAAAATGATTAACCATACATAATTAGGGTATGCGCCCCTGTTTTGTGTTCCAGAAGTTTCGGATTTGAATCGCGGCAGTTTTGACGAAGTTTTCTTGTTCCCCTGAGATATTTTTTTTCCTTGGCACTACAGCCCCAGTGGGCCTAGGCCTACCTCCATGAACTTCTCCGTTCACTTCGGTTTTTCTAGATCTTACACATACGGTAGGACTTCTTGGGCGGGTCATAAGCTCGTCGCAAGGCCTCTACCTTACACAAACGCAGAAAAACGCACATAAACATCCATACCCTGAGTGGGATTCGAACTCACGATCCCGGCTTCCGAGCGAGCGAAGACAGTGCATGCCTTAGACCGCTCGGCTACCGTGACCGGCCCCCTAAGATAATTGCTCCACGTAATTTCCAATCGCTCTTTACAGTGGCGTTGCTGTGCAGTTGATAGATCATAAAGAAATCATTAAACAAGACCAATATTCAGTATGGTATTTGTTTATTTAGTTGTGTAATAAATTTGCAAAGTAGTTATGAAATTTGAGGTTCTCAAAAGAGATGACTATGCAGATTACCGCCTCTTTTGATGTGACGCAATACAGTTTTGTAAACAGCATCATCGAGACCGTAGTCTTGGTACGTAAATGCCTCAGAAGTACTGCGTTGCGAACAAGGTCTTCTGTACTATAGTTCCCACAAAAACCACAATAGACATGGTCTGCTGAACTATTTTACCACGATCAGTACGAAGGAACGCCCTTCTTTGTTGGCACTTAAAAATAAGTCAAACATTCTAGTCTGCCACAGTAACATGAATCATTATGTCTTGTATTTGTACAGAGTGATTCTAAATTATTGTCTGGGTTTCCGTGGCCTGTGATTTTCAAACCGGAAACAGAACTGCTCACGGAATATGAAAGCGTAACTATAAAGGTTTTATGACCTACAGAATCGATACTGAATGCTGAACAACTTCAGCCTGGGCGCCTTTATTTTCTACTTCCGGTTTGAAAATTATAGGTCCCGGAATCCCGACAGTAATATAGAATCAAATGGTAGATAACAGCAAACATAGATACGAGTAACCAGGTAATTTCATGTAAAGCAATTACTCATTTTGTGGGTTTTGGTTTTATCTTACTACAAGGGAGTTTCGTTTGATCGCTCACTTTTGCATAAGGCGGAAAGTATCGTGTCGTTTGTCAAGTGTCATTACATGTATCTCGATATATTGAGATAACACGACTTTTATCTAAACGTTATAAAGGCTATTGATTGATTGCAAAGCCATTTACACTAACCAGAACGCCCCAGAAGTTTGTTTTACATTCGCAAACCTGTTTAAAAGGGCAATATTTATGTCACAGCAGGTTTTATTTATAGCAGAACATAATATTACTGAGAAATTTGTAAATTATCATTATTAGCCACAAATATGAAGCTATTAGGCCGTGCCATAGTTCACGCAGTTTGTTACCGGCCTCTTGGGTTCAGTCTTAGGTCAGTAATTGTCGGATTTATGTTCAACGTGGCACTGGGTCAGGTTTTCTGCCGAGTACATCGGTTACCTCTGCCAATTCTTATTCCACCAAATGCTTCAATCCTCTCTCCTGTTATCCGGGGCTGGAACGGTAAAAGTAACAAGAGACTGAGTGTCACTTTAACCTAAGAAAGGAATGGCTGCCTTAACTGATTTTTTCTTTTTGTAAATCTCTTGCTCGCCAAGCGAATACCACGGAAGGTTTTGAGTTTGGTTAGCGTTCCTGCTTTTTTCAGGAGGTCCTGGGTAGTATTCTTGACCTGGAGATCGGTTATCGTGATGGAAGATCAACTGGTTCATGTTGGTTCCTTCAATTAATGCATTAAAATAGACCACTGTAGCTGCCCTAGACTTCCCTCCCAGTTCTCTGATCATCCTTCCACTTCATGTGACCAGGAGAATTGAGAAATTACGTTAAATAAACTAAGACTACATTAATTTAGATGAATATAATGCTATATATTAATTGAAAGAAACGATGGCCACTTCCACTTTGCTTCCTGCTTGTTATTTCTGTTACTAGTAAGCGGCCTCCGTAGTCTAGGGGTAACGTTCCCACCTCATGACTCAAGGTACGCGGGTTCAAACCCGACGGAGGTCGTGGAATTTTTAAGGGCGGAAAAATTCAGGGAACAAGTCCTCCGGGAGGGGCTTTAAGCCCGTGTCGTAGCTTTACGGCTTGTAGAAGAACCTCATGTCTCAAGGGGATCTCTGAGCCAAATTCATGACATTTCCCGCCCAGCAGTAGTGTCTAACGCCTCTGGTAGATGGGGGAAGCATCGAGGGAGGGACTTTAAGCCGTGGGTCCCGTGTCGTAGATTTACGGCACATGCCTCTAGGAGGCCTCTGAGCTAAATTAGGCCAAAAAGTTTCCAACCCAAATAGTTTCCAGTGCCTCCGATAGATGGGGAGGGAGGAGGGACTAACTCGCTGACAGAAAGGGACTAACTATTAGATACCAATGCCAAGTAGAGGGTAGAAACCTCGCTGGCAGAAAGGGGCTGATAGCGAGCACCAGTATCGGTAGGGGATGGAGACGGTAGAAATTAAAAGGGGGATGTACAATGGACTATCAGTCGCGGTGCATGGGGAAACCCACCCCCTCAATACTGAATCACTGAATTTCTGTTAATAGTACATATTACTTACTGTATTTTGTTTTTTGCTAAAATTAGATAATTTAATCAGGCTTTGAGGAGTGATAACACCGACCTAGATACCCTAACCCTGATTTTCCCATAAGGTTTTGGACTTGTAATCCGCGGGAATTTTCGGAAAATAACCATCACGGTTGGCGAGAGATTGCTGTATACAGAGCTTGGCGAACATGTAAAAGAGAAAGAATAGAAGGGTTTGTTGAGAATGGTGGAAGAATTCGAGTGTGTGAACTCGCTTTTGAATGAAGGAACTTGGGCGCTAAGCAACAGGTTGGTGGACGCTAGACAGGTTATCCTTTGATGTAAGAAGGGAACATCGCAGCATGGCGCAGGTTGGAGTAAAAACTATACTGTTAAGAAATGGTAAATTCAGAATTTAATACATTGCATAAAGTTCTACTTATATTCCCAAATGTCATTAGAATTAGCAGTTACGACTCATAATGATCTTGGTATGTATTTTTAAGGACCCGAAAAAAAAAAGAACACAACGGCGCCCAGTCTCCCTTACACTCTGCTCTGTTGTGTATTTTATATACAATTTTGGTGCTTTCAGAATTTTTTTTGTTTTAGCCTAGTATCCGTGCTTTATTTGAGAGCAAGTTCCGTTAAAAATTATTGGCACGTTTATAGCATAATAGGGTTGCCAATAATTACGCTTATACTCTTCTCCAAGTATAATTAGAATGATCAAGTCAAGGAGGATGAGGTGGGCAGGACATGTAGCACGAATGGGGAGAAAATGAATGCATATAGGTTATTGGTGGGAAAGCCAGATGGAAAGAGACTACTGGGAAGACCAAGGCGTAGGTGGGTGGACAATATTAAAATGGATCTTAGATGGGATGGTATGGATTGGATTGATCTGGCTCACGATAGGGACCAATGGAGGCCTCTTGTGAACACGGTAATGAACCATCTGGTTCCATAAATTGCTGGGAAATTCTTGAGTAGCTGCAGATTTGGCTTCTCCTCAAGAAGGGCTCAGCTCCATAAGTAAGTAAGTAAGTAATAGTTAGGGCCGCGTCATAGCTCAAGCCGTTAGTCGCTGGCTTCCCACCGCGGAGCCCCGGGTTCGATCCCGGGTCTGGTTAAGTGGGATGTAATAGTTACGGCATAATAATAATAATGCTGTAACCATTACTTACACCCTTGTGTGTTTCGTATCAGGCATTGAAATTGGTTGGTTATAGTTTTTTTAGCCCCTTTGAGGTCATTCACGTACGTAATCCAGAATCGTGACATTGCGCCTGTGATATATTCTCGTTAAGAAGTTTTGTTTACCAGCTGTCTCCAGGAATGTAAACTATTCGCAAGATTGGTGACCGCGTGTACATATTGCCCAGAGATTTTGCAGTGCCATCCGTCTTTTCATGTCCCCGCGAAAATCGCCAAGGAGTCGGTATCTCCGGTTTTTAGCTGTAGTTATACAAGAACACTCGGCGCGTAGATAGCGTAACGTGTTTCGCGAGTGTAGAAGCTTTTTATAATTGGTAACAGATGTCGTGGCCGTGTCGGAACGTTATTTCCAGAAATGACAAAAGATGGCAGAGCAGTAACTATAACTTGTTTTCAGAATCGACCATAGATGTCGGAGAGGTAGACGTTTGTCATGTTCACGGTCTCATCTGTTACTATGACAACGGGAGATAAGGTTGGAGGCTGTTCAGATACTACATCTGGACCTCGCTAGATGTCGGTAGTGTGTATTTAAAGAAGTGTGAGAAGGTTGCAAGGCGAGTTAGTTACACGAGTTTTTGAGAATGAAGAATCAGTTGGTCGTGAAGTGCGGTGCGTTTCGGATGCTGGAGTGGCCGTGTCGGCAGATCCCGGTTGATTGGGATTTAGATTTGGACCTCAATCTGGAGTTGACACCAACAGTCGTCCAGCGCCCTAGAACAAAACTACAGCGGTACCTTTCCGAGGGCCACCAGCACCATCACCATGACATGGTGCAGACATCATCATCCACTGTACCGAGAAAATCGGCTACCATGACCTTTCACAGGTCAGTTTCACATTCTCCAAACCAACCTCATCGCCCGTTAGCTGATCAGCAGGGACATCATAACAGTTTGGTGTTAGAATCATCGGCCAACTTGCCGCAAGAATCTTCCAACATGACCTTTGACAGGTCAGTGTCTAATCAGCCAGCTGTCAAACTCCGCCGATTTCTGTCAGAGGGTCATCATAACCGACAGGAGTCGCCACCTTCGGACCCCAGGCAGAGGTCTGCGACGGTGACAGTTAACAGGTCAGTTTGCACTGCTGTCGCCCCATTTGTCTTCAGTATTGTTTATCAACTGTTTGCCCCGTTTCTCTAGGATCACATCACTAGCGAACTAGCCGGAAATGTTTTTCCACATGACAGATTAAATTTACGGGCACTGGATGTGACCCTGAGAATCTCTTTCCGTCTGTCACAGTTGTTTGTGAAATTTGAACGTAGTTGTCAGTGGTGAAAAACGGGAAGGAAGAGTCGTATTTCTGTTGTCACGTCATTGAAAGTGAATGCGACCGGGTGTTTAAGAATGCGTGTTGTTAAGGTTAATGTTGCAGTTAATATCTTCTCCTAAAATGATATTGGTACTCGTATGTGGCAAAGGGTAAGGGGAGGTGGGTACATTTTAATAAGGTTTTGTCATGTGAAAAAGACATTCTAGGGGCGTATCATACATTATTGGCTACTTTTATCAACAGTGTTTTTTTTTGTTATCGGAATTTTAAAATGAATCATGAAGAAAGAGGAAGGGTGAGCGTGGACTGAATTTATCTGGGTCATGATACGGACCAGTGGTGGGCTATTGTTGACATGGTAATGAAGCCCCTCCCCCCAATTTTCCTTTTTTTTTCCTTTTTTTTTTTTTTTTTTTTAC